GGCTGGGCTGGGTGACCCACAGAGGTCCCTTCCAACCCCACCATGCTAGGATTCTGCGTGATTCTGTGCAGTTGTTCTTCCCGAGCTGATCCAAGTCTGCTCTGCTCGCACCAGTGCTGGGGTGACACGGGGCACGGTGAGGGACAACCCGGCCGGGGATGCAGGTGGGAGGGGAGGGAGTGGGGCCATCGCTTCTGGCAGCAGCAGGGATTTGGGTTCTGTCAGGAGTGGAACAGCTACGCTACCTAAAGCCTGAGCTCTAACTGGGCTGAGGATGGAAGGAGAAATCAGAGGTCATGGACCTGTAGTTAACTGCAGAACGCTGGTATGCGCGAAGCCCGTGGTCATCAGGGCTGGAAGTGGCCAGGAGACATTTGTGAGTCATTTTGCTGATCCAGAGGGAACAAGAAATCCAGACTGCGAGTGCATCTGGTTCGTTATGACTGGAGTCAAAGCTATTGCAAGCAGCAAGGCCAAGCCAAGCCAACTCAGGAGCCGCCTTCGCCAGAGCGACTGATGCAACAGCTAAAGGTGACGCAAGGAGATGGAGCACGCTGGGGTCTCAGAAAGCCAGCTGGTGTAGTGCCATGCATAAACGTAAAGAAAATAGATTGCTTCTCGTTTAAGTAAAAATATTATGGTTTAGAAACAAGTTTTCGAGCAGGGAACGGTTGTTAACAGTAAGACCGGCTGAAGACCAGCGTTGGTCCGGGTTTTAGGGAAGGTGTGGTCTACACCTGCGTTGTTTTGTACGCTGGGGTCTCAGAAAGCCAGCTGGTGTAGTGCCATGCATAAACGTAAAGAAAATAGATTGCTTCTCGTTTAAGTAAAAATATTATGGTTTAGAAACAAGTTTTCGAGCAGGGAACGGTTGTTAACAGTAAGACCGGCTGAAGACCAGCGTTGGTCCGGGTTTTAGGGAAGGTGTGGTCTACACCTGCGTTGTTTTGTACAAAGCAACAAGGGCTGTTTGGCACAGCCCCTGGCAGCCTGGACGAGGGGCTGGGGTGTGCGGGGGCACCGGCCGGGAGCCTGCCGGAGAGCCGAGCCGAAGGGCAGGGAGCGCCGGGGGCTCGGGCGATGGGATTCAGCCGAG